GGTGCTATTTAAGAGACTGAGCTGAATACAGCTCCTCAGACTGAGGAAGTCTCTCGGATGAGAGACGAAACGTTTCTACATTTTTTTGTTGATTTGCTTTGTTTTGTTTAATGTCCAGAGGACCAGATTTAACTTTTTTAGACCCCTGAAGAAAGTTCTCTCCTGGTTGTAACACACATATGGATATTGGAATAAAGTATACCTGAACAGAAGGAACATTTATCTCCCTGATGGAAGCCCATGAAGGACCATTCCCACCCCCTGGTGGTGGATTGACTGACATGTTTAAGATGTGTCCAAGAGCACTAGTCCAATAAACTGCCTGTTTGGAGGAAAAAGAAAAACGGAGGACATTTTATTTCAACTTCTACTCTGGTCGCCTTGTGTACTCTTCCCATGAACTATATTTTCTCCATATATTGTTTAGTAACATTCATCTGCCCTCACCCCTCCTGAGACTTCATGCAATCTTGAGTTGAATGAAAGGTCTGAAAGTCTTCTTCAAGTAATCACAGAAAAATAGTGCAATCGAAAGATTACATTTTTAACACTTTACACTTGAGGTGTAAATTTTATTGACTGTTTGTCAGCATATTTTTGTCTCTTTGTTCCTCACACTGATACATCAAATGGATACTGGTCATTTTTAAGTGATGTTCTGTCAAATACTTATTTAATCAACCATAAGCACAGAGTATGGAGAAAAGTGAAAAAGTCTTCGTCCAAGCAAGGCTAACGGTTAGCTAAACAATGTGTGTTAATTTTGTTTTTGATTTTTTAAAAACTTTCTCACTAAGTGAAAGAACCCGAGTTATATTAAACCTCCACACATGTGCATGACTGTTTAGTTGATTTTCTCAATGTTTTTATATCTATATTTTTTAACAAACTCACTCAGTAACTTTTGGTTTGACCATGTGCTCTCGCATGTGATTTAAAGAACAAGCGGTACTCCAATGTCCCCCGTCTCTGAGGTGAATGTTTGTAGTTTTGGGGATGCGTGTTTGTCTGGACTGGAATAGAACAGGGAATGAAGTAAACAATGTTTTTGACAGATCATAGAGTGGAGGAAGACATTTTAACCACCAATGAAATGGTGAAATGGAGGAGCCAGCAGGTGGCCAACGGTGGCCTTGCCCCCCCCCCCCCCCCCATAGATTAATCTTGGGCCACCTCAATCATTCAAGGAAACTATACATTTAAGCAATATAAAAACTAAAAAGCATGGTTGTTTTCAAAAATGACTGGGGTGGCCAATTTATATATTTATATATATATATATATAGACCCCCTTGACCCAAAATGGAAGAAGCAGGTAAAAGATAATGGATATATATATATATATATATATATATATATATATATATATATATATATGGTAGTGGCCATCTTGGATTTTGATGTGGCAACCCCGTTTTTGATGAGCTCTTTCTTACACCTAAAAGTAGACGCACCAAAATGGAAGTCAGTACCTCATTTATTTTTCAAGTTATCATGCTGACAACATGCACGGATGAACAGGACATTATTTCCAATTCCCCCTCTTCGCTCCGTGATGGTGGACAACACATGAAATAATTTAAAACTTGCATTTTGTATTTACTCAGGTTAGCTCTGACTGACAGAAAAACTTGTTTGATCTGAAACATATAAATGTGATAAAGTATAAACAGAAATTTGTAAGGGAGTGAATACATTTCAAATCACAGTACTAAAACTGAACAGGCTTGAATCTGAATCTGAGTTTTCATCTTAAATTGTATTGAAATTAATCCGAGTTGAATGGATAGTGTATTACCTATTAACTTCCTGTTTATTTTCTTTATGTTCCCTGAGATAAATGATCACTGGACTTATAAAAAATAAAAGCAAGATGTACTTTCCAGTCATTCCTTCTGTCCAAACTGAAGCGTTTCTGCTGTTTCTCTCTGATGACTCGGCCCCACTGGTTCTCCTCCTGCTGACCATCATAGACTGAAACTTCTCTGATGTTGTTTAACCAAACTGTCCTGCTTCTCTTCAAAAACCACTTCCATCTTCAGCTGGGACCCCTCAGTCACCAGCTCCCTGCTAACTGGTCTCTTATTGTCACAGTCCCACTCATCGCCCCGTGCACTCCCGCCGTAACCCAGATCGCCCAGGTGCTCCTCAGAGTCACACTTCTCCAGGTCGAAGGCGAGACTCTGCAAGCTGACGAGTGACGTGAAGTCGGCGTCCAGCTGCTCCCTCTGACCCCAGCCACTCTCTCTGTGCCTCTCCACCCACAGCCTGGTCTTCTCACCGTCTGCCCAGTCACTTTCTACACCGCTGACTCCCACACAGGTACTGACACGGACCCCCGGGGCACCTTTGACCTCGGCTTCAGCCCCTATGGGGGAGCTCCTCCCCCCCTCTGGTCGCACCTTGGCGACTACGCTCTGTGCTCTCTGCGCGTGAATCTGCTCACTGATCTGCTCCAAGTTCCTCAAGGCAACGAAATAACGAGTTTTGACTTTCGACACCTGCTCCTCGAGATGCACCACTTTAGCTTTGTGTTCCTGAAAAACAAGTCAAGAAAAAGACAAAGCAACAGCTTAAATTATTTTATTTATACAAGTCCTTTGAGCCTTCCATTAAAAAATGTCTTGTTTTCAATGATGAACATGCGTGAAAGCATGCAGGAAGTCTAAAACAACTCATGTTGACAAATGTGTAGGTCTTTGGTCAAACATGGAAAATAGTTGTACTCAGTCAGATGGAATATGGAATCACGTCTTGTTCTGAGCAAGTGTGAATGATTCTTACTTACCAAGCATTAGCTTTCACTGTGACGTGGGACCTCCAGTCCATATTCGCCACAGATATTCTTGTACACTATACCAACACTTGGTTATGGTGTTCCATGTATGCTTTGCCTACCTGGATCTTACATTCTGCTTCAATGTGTACGACTGTCTCAGGGGCATGGCATGGTAACTCTAACCCACTGATAGGATTTGTTGATATCGCCACTTCCTCATTCGGCCGATGGTACATGCCATGCAGGGTTTGTTTTTTTGTTCTATAATGGTTTCTCTTTGTCCATATTAGGTTTCATCTTGTATAGTGGCTTGGATGCTCTCTACTCCTCTGCCTCCCTCTTTTATTTTAGTGTAGAGTCTCAGTGCTGGACTTGACGCAAAACCCTCCATGCATTGCGAGGAGCTTTCGAGTCTTGAAGTCCATGGCTTCTATCTCCTCCTTTGGTCAGGCAGCTGTGTATCTGATGACTGGCACTGCAAATGTATTGCTCTTCAGGACCTGCCTTACTTTCTGTAGGTACTCTGTTGTAGCTGACTTTCTTGCAGCCTCATGATGATTACTATTTGCCTGTGGGATTCCAAGATATTTGTAGCTGTCCTGGACATCTGCAGTGTTGCCTTCATTTGGTCCAACCCTTTCAGGTGTCATCACCTTTCCTCTCCTGCACACCATCCGACTGCATTTATCCAGTCCGAATGACATTCCAATGTCACTGCTGTATGTCCTGGTGAGGTGGATCAGTGAGTCGATGTCTCGCTGATTTTTGGCATACAGCTTGATGTCATCCATGAAGAGGTGATTGATGATTGTTCCACTTTGGAACTGATTCCATAGCCGCTATTTGCAATGATATTGCTGAGGGGGTTCGGGCCTATACAGAACAGGAGTGGGGACAGTGCATCACCTTGATATACAGTATGTAGCATGCATACACAGTATGCTGACTTGTGCAATTGGCTTTGAATTGGCCTCTAGTTATATTCCACATTCCCATTAAGTTCTTGATAAATTCAATTCAATTCAAATTCAAATTCAATTAAAATTTCAAAAATACTTGATTAATCCCAAAGGGAAATTATTTGTTGTTGTAACTTGTTATCCTCATTTCATTAAGAGATGTTATAGATACTGATGGCTGTAGGTAGGAAGGATCTCTTGTAAAGGTCCATCCCACAGTGGATCCTAAGAAACTGGCTGCAGATGCCGTCCGATCCGTCTACCCAGACTCGGCTGGCCTCTCAGTTCCCCCGGGCTGTAGTACCGCCCAAATGTCGGGCAGAACTCCTCCCAAAGTGATGGCCACTCCTCCCAGCAGTCTGCTGAGCTCCTCATCACTGCAGACAGCCAACTGTACGTGCCAAGGGACAATGGTGTCCTTCCGCTGTCATGAGCCATGTTTCCTGCTACTTCCAGGATCTCAGTGGTCAGGCACTCTAGCACAGCCGGCAGGTAGATGAGAATGCATCTACGGCGCCTCCTTTTTTTAAAAAAACTCATTTGAGATTTGGGGCTGTAGTTGAGATATAATTTGAGCTTTTGAGATGTTAATCAGCTGCTGTTGGTTGTAGAAAACTGCCTTGTTGCCATGGTTACGCATCATAACAAATGTCCAAAACTAAAAACGTTTCAGTAAAAATCCTTCCAGCTGCACAGCATCCGATACCAGAGGAAACAATCATCCAAAAAAATGTGCTTTACATCCAGAAAAAGAGTAATTAAAGTTTCCAAAAGCAAAATCTCAGAATGAAAGTAACAGACCTGCTCCAACATGCAGCCACCTTGAGCAGCGCAATTCTAGAACAGAGTTCAGAATTATTATAAATAATTATAATTATTATATATTATTATTATTATAAAGACTCTTAGTGTCCTGCTGGTTGTAGAGTTTCAAGCGCTTCAGTATTTGTCTGTGTGTCAATGAGTCATAGGCTTTCCTGTAACTGATTCAGGCAGTGAACAGGTTTGTGTGTCTGGTCGTACAGTCTCGAGCTATGGTTCTGTTGACCAGCAGCTGGTGCTTGGCTCCACTAATGTTGGTGCCAATTGGCTTCTGTGCCTTGCTCAAGTATTGACGCAATCCTTGTCCATCTTAGCCACTATAATGCCTGATGGGAGCTTCCATGTTGTACAGAGCCAGACGATTGGCAAGTAGTTGGATGGGATTGCCCCTTTCGAGGGTCTGTCATGATCAGGACTTTCTGGCCCTGGATCAACCACTCTGGGTGGGACCCTGCCATTAGCAGCTGGTTCATGTGTGCTGTTACGTGTTCATGGAGAGCAGTCAGTTTCTTTAGTCAGTTGGTGTGGATCACGTCAGGCCCGGGTGCAGTCTAGCTCTTCAATCTTGAATGTCTGCCACTGGGATTGGTTTGGATTGGTTCTTGTTCTGGGAGCTTATTCTGAGAACTTAGATCCTTTAGCAGGAAGCATAGAAGAAGAAAGCATCACAACAATGACACCTTAGTCTCCCATGTACTTCTCCAGTGTTGTTCAATCTCAGTTCTGGGTGAGTCTGCTTTCATGTTATTTCCCTGCCACTGAGAGATAACTTTGGATGGTGTGGTATTCTCATGATTTCTTCTTCTGCAGTGTACCTCTTCAGAAGCTGAAAATTGACACATTAATATAGTACCACTTATCAATACTATAACCCAGCTACGTGTTCTCTGTTTAGTTAGCCTAAAACTGGTTAAAATTTATGCGACTGTAAAAATTAATAGGAAAAAATATTGACAGTTGTGCAAAACACAGCCTTAATGTGTGTTTAATAAAAGGTTGTAATAGTTTATAGAAAACACCAGTACTTATTGCACAAACCTCCAGAATGTGGTTAAACTGAGCCTTGAGCTCAAAGTAAGGTTTGGACTTGAGGATGACTTTCTTCAGGGCTTTCTGGAGGGTCTGGACTCGAGCTTCAGCATCCTGGCAGAGCTGAGTGACTTGTTGATGCTCACGCTCACTGCAAAGCCGCTCCTCTTCTGCCTCGTTCACCTAACAGGGACCATGACCAAATGATTCATATTTTAACAATTACAATACACAACATGGCTGTGTGGACAAACAGTTAGCATAAACAGGCTACATGGTGGCGTGGTGGGTTAGCAAAAAACAGGTTGCAAGTTTTGACTCCCAGCTGTGGCCTGTGCATGCATAGATTTTCTCCACTGGGGAACCATCAGGGCCTTCAACATCTTCAGAGAAGGCCCAAGAATTCAGCACATACAATACGTTTAAATCTTTAATTTAATATTTATTTTATATAAAATAAATAATTTCTATGTAGTTTTTACTATTGTTTTTGCTCCTATATCTTATTTTTTGTAAAGCACTTTGCAATTGAGCAAGAAACTTTTTTATTTGTGAAAATGCTGTTATCCAATAGGATTATTTGACGTGTTGTCTCCAGGCAGAAACAGAAGGAGCTGCCATTGGTCAGGACTTCAGAGACGTTTTTGAAGGCCTTGCAAAGTGTTTTTTATTTTTATTGTTTTTAACCACATGAAGATTTGTGATGCATTTAATTGCACCGTGTAAATTAAAAAATCCACACAGAAATTGTAGTTGCTCTAAAAAATTAAGGTTAAATGTCTCAATTAGGTTTATATAAAAAAAATAAATAAAAAAATTCCCCTCCTTCGACTGCACCTTCCTCGGGTTTCCTCCAGTGGTTTACCAACAGGTCCTTCAACGTCTTCAGAGAAGGCTCAAGAATTCAGTACATAAAAAACCATACGTTTAAATCTTTAAACCACAGCAAGCGAGCTCATATGAGGATTTGGCCATTTACGCAGAATGCCCTTCCTGATGCAACCACTGATCACTGGGCTACCACAGCCCATGTGCGTGGAGCAGAGGACTGTCATCGAGAGCGCCCGGGGGAGAGGAAGGGAGCGGTTAAGGGCCTTGCTCAAGAAACCAGTGGGGCACAATATGGTGGAGGCAGGTGTGGGTGCTTATCTTTCTCACCTAACGGTTAGCGGATTCAAACCAGTGACTTCTCAATCGTAGATTCTAACCTCTGCACCACCATTCCCTCTTTACATTACTTTTAGGTTCATGCAAACAAATTTCAATAATAAAGTTGTGTTTTGATGACAGTTTACAGACACAGTTCTGTGGGTTATTTTTAAATGTCAGTGTGGATTATTTAAAATACATGTTGTATTTGTACATAAGAGGCTTAGTGAGCCGCGGGGTCTTCTGGATAATCTTGGGACAGGAAAGGGTGGACTTTTTCAGCTTCTGTGTTCACATGGGCTGCATCTGTTGGTTCTGTTTAGTGTTGGGTTGGGGTTTCTGTTCAGGTTGTTAGTGACTGTAAAAAGTGACACTACGAGTCAGATGTTGGACCTGATGGATAAACTGAGACGCACTTTCTGAGTGAGACACTGAATTGTGAAACTGAATGTAAAGATATCTAATTGGACCTTAACTAGGCAGTGACTTTGACGTTAACATTCTATACAATGAGAGAATGAGAGAATGGATTAATTATTGTCTTCACTTATTTTGAGGGAAGAGTTTGACCTTTCTATGAGGAAACGTTTGGTATCTGGAGGACGTGTCGGCTCAAATCTGGGACAAACTGTCAGAGATAAAGGAGTCCAGGGTGTGGACCAGCTGATAGGCTGCTTGGAGTAGTCCATAAGCTCTACTAACGACATGCAGACCCATTCAAAGATGGCGAACATGGCTTCAAATCAAATCAGACTGATGGGAAATACGTTGCTGTGGAATGACAGTGTTAGAGGTTTAAAAACAAACAAACAAAGGATTACGTCAAAAACCTGTCATCTGATGATATGACACCACAGTTGTTAATTACTTAATAAGTTTCTTTTGGCTGCTCCCTTTTTCAGGGGTTGCCAGAGTGAGCAAACTCGCATAAAAGATTTGGCAATTGTTTTACGCCGGATGCCCTCCCTGACGCAACCTGGGCTCGAACCGGCAACCTCAGGATTACAAGAACATGGCACTGAGCACCAAGCTACCGCAGCCGTACAGTTATTAATTACATGACCTCTTTAAACGAATACTTGTTTATTATCACAAACAGAAAAATTCCTCTTAAAAACAGCGTCAGTGGCGAGTAAAAGACTGAAGAGGTGATAAATTCACTGAGAAAGACTCGATCTTTCAGTGAAAAGACGTTTGAGTCTTTTTGGCTCGGATTTTAGTCTCTGTTGTCCTTGTGATGCGCAACGGACCCTTTGCAGCCACGTGACAATATTTAGCTCTTGAAATAAGTTGGATTTACACAGAACCATCATGGTTTTAAAAAGGTGCATTTATTTTATTTCTGTTTTTGACTTATCGGAGGCCGATGGAGCAGTCTGTTTTTATCGTTTTAACAAAGCCGCTCTAAAAAAAAATGTTCAAATTATCAGATGATAAGAGAGAAAAAACGTCACAAAACACGTTAACTTATTTTTAATCGCAATAATCTACTAAGAAATATTTCAGTGCATGACTTGGGTTTTATTTTTCTACTGTAAACATATAAAGAACGAGGTCTCTCTGCAGGCTGGCGTCATACCTTGGCAGTTGCATGGTTCAGCATTTCTTGCCAGGTTGAGTCCATGGTGTTCTTATCAGCAAGGAGGCCCTGCTCGGCCATGTGCACCATCTCTCTGGCCGCAGTGTGCATGGACGCGGCCCTCTCGTACCTCAACGCTGCCTTCTGGGTCTCCTGTTGGGTCTTTGGGACGAAAAGCTGAAGTCAGTCGCAAAATCTACAGCAGCTGCTAAATAAATCCACTAACATGAAAGATGAAAGTACACAGAAGTTAAATTGTTAGAGCAATCGTCCTGATGCACGCTCAATAATCCACACAACAGACTCATGTTCGTGCTGCTGTTTAATACACTGTATTATTTTACATTATTATTGTTTAGTTTTTCTTAGATACTTGTATACTGTTTCTTTTTTTACTTTATATTTTTTGCTATTTTTGGATGTAACTGGGACCTTGTGTACACAATTTCCTTCCACCTCATGTACCACATGTGGTGTGAATGACAATAAAGAAACTTGGATTCTTCTTTGTTGAAACGTTTCATCTTTGATCCAAAAGACAAAACATTAGATATTAATGTACGATATTAGAGCAATTATAAAAGTGAGAAAAACTTCCTGAAGAACAAAGACCACATTCACTTTAGAGTTAATCGTTTCACGTTGCTGCTTCTCCTCTGAGTTGTTCTCTCGGCACGGTGGTCGACAGCTGCACAGCTAACACCAACGCCCTCTACAAGAAATGACAGAGTCACCTTTTTCTTCTGAGGAGACTCAGGTCCTTTAACATCTGCAGGACCGTGCTGCAGATGTTTTACCACTCGGTGGTCTCCAGCATCTTCTTCTACATTGTGGTGTTCTGGGGCAGCAGGGTGAAGAAAGCTGATGCCAACAGACTCAATAAACTCATGAAGAGATCTGGTTCAGTTCTGGGAGTGGACCTGCAGTCTCTGACAGAGGTGTCTGAGCAGAGGATGATGAGGAAACTGATCCAGATCCTGAACAACACGTCACCCCCCCTGCATGACACCCTGGACTCTTACTGCAGCACCTTCAGTCGTAGACTGAGACCACCAGGTGCTCCACAGAACAACACAGGAAGTCCTTCAAACTTTTAAACTCCTCCCCCTTTCTGCACATTGGACAATAAAACTGATCCTGCACAATAAACTCTTTAATGTTTCTGTCTGCACCTCACCTGTTTTACAACTTAACTGTTGGTATTATTATATTCTGGTTTTTTTTATATATATATATCTCTAATTTTATTCTTTGTGTTGTTCCTTTGTATTGAAACTCTGGCACAACAATTTCTTGAGGGATCACTGGAGAACTGAACTTCTAACCCGATTCTCAAAGAGAGAGTCCAGCAACCCTGCAGAGAAAATTCATTCAGACCTCCTGGATCCACAATCTGGTTCTTTCAGTCACTTCCCAGCGTTCATGACACTAGGTGAGGGTAGGAACGTAGTTTGACCAGTAAAGAGAGAGCTTGTCCTTGCAGCTCAGCTCCCTCTTCACCACTATGGACCGGCACAGAGTGCACAATACTGCAGAAGCTGCAACGATCCGTTCGTTGATCTCACGCTCCATCCTTCCCTCACTGTGAACAAAAACCAGAGATACTTGAACTCATACACTCGAGGCAGAACCTCACCCCCAACCTTGAGAGGACAGTTCAGACTGAGGACCATGGCCTCGGATTTAGAGGTTCTGATCCTCCTCCCAGCAGCTTCACACTCAACTGCAAACCGCTCCAGTGAGAGGTGGAAGTCATGGAACGACAACGATAGACCACATCTACTGCAAATAGCAGAGATGGAGCCTGAGACCACCAAACTGGACCCCCTCCACCCCCTGGCTGCAACATCTTAGTATAGAGTAGAATAACTTCAGCTATTTATCTTCAGTGGTTTTCACCAAGTTCTCTGAAGTTTGACTCTTCTCTGACATCATCAAAGGTTTCTGCCCATCCTCATGACTGACCATTTTCTCTTTTAAAAGTCCAACCTCCTGTTCTCTGCACACCGAGATGTTGAGCTTCTTTCAGTCCTCCTGTGTCAGCCGCACATGCAGCTTTGTATGAGGAGGTCAGTTTGTTGCTAAATGTAACCTTAAGTTATAAAACATCTAAATCTCAAAAAACGTGCGTGGCAGATACAGACAGGCTGTAGACTCCGGGCTTCACAGCACAGACGAGTCATCGTCTTTTATTTTGAATAATGTGAGGAGATATGGGGAGGCTTTGGACTTATTTATGGTTTTAGGTCATATTTACGCAGAAATACAGTAAATGATAAAGGCTTCACAAACTTTCAAGCACCTCCACACACACACACACACATATAGAAATGTGCTCATTGATAAAAACTGTCATCTTTAATTAGTTATGAGATTTGATCATTTCTGTTGCACTGAACACAGTAAAAGTTCTTTCAGTGTGAACTGAGGCACTTTGGGTGAAATCACGTTACACGTTTCATCTTTTTGAAATTAAGATTTAAAGCAATTTTTCTTCAGTACCTTGTCTTGTTTGCATTTTGTCAAGAAAACCACCAACCTATAGATTTTAATTTGCAATTAATCCGTCCGTTTATTTTCTTTGCCCCAGTGATCCTGCTCAGAGCTGCTGCTTATGTTCAGAGCGGTCAACAGCTCCTTCCATCCCAGAACCACACACAGAACATCACACGCACCTGGTGGAAGGTTAGACCCTCCAGTTAACCAAACGTGTTTGTGGTCATATTCCTTTTAAACACAAAGTTTGATATTATCATGCCGTTGGAAAACTTTAGTTTATGTCAGTATCCGTGTATCAAACGTGCACTTACCTCCTTAGCGAGTCTGCGGGCTTCATAGTACGGCCTCGCCTTCTCAATGCAGGCACCAAGCTGGGAACCATGAGCATTAAGCTTCCTGACCGAATCAGTAAGAATCCTTCTATAGCTGGACCTGGCATCCTGAAAGAGCAGAACCGGGTTCTAAAATGATTCATATCGAACGTAAGGTGAACAAAAAACACACAACAGAGTCCACCCTGTCATTATTAAACTAAAATGAAGCCCACATAGAAAACCTGGGAGTAAAAACTGTGTTCAGTCCTGCGGCTTCCACGGGATCAGCAGCAGCTGCTGATCAACTCATCATCATCAGATTGTGTGTTAACACAACACAACGGTGGAAAGACATCAGCAATGAGCTTAGAGAAGCAGCTGTTGCTGTCATCGATCTGAGAAGGGTCAAAGGTCATTTCAAACTATCTAGAGTCCATCGCTCTACAGAGAGAAGTGGAAAACATTTCAGACAGCTGACAATCTTTACAACAGATTCACCCCAAGGTCAGACCATGCAGTGCTCAGAGAAATGAGCTCTAGCTCAGACTCTACATGCGTCAGTCAGCAGGTCAAAGGTCACGACAGGACAGTTAGAAACACAGTGAACAAATCTGGTTTGTTAGAAGAAAATCTCTTCAGTCTAAAACAAGACGGCCGCTCGACTCAGATGTAAAGTTTCATCCGAAGGAACCACAAGACTTCTGGACCAGAACCAGACCAAAGGACAGATGTTTAAAAGCACTGCAACCAGAATGCACTGCAGCAAACAGCTCCTCCCAGCTGTCAGCACGGTGGTGGAGCGCTGATGGTTTGGGCTCCTGTCAGTCACTGAGAGGACCAGAACTCCTCTGTAGACCAAAGAGTTCTGGAGTCAGATGTGAGTCCATCCGTCCAATAGTTGAAGAATGGACAAAACTGATCCCAAACGCAGCAGCTGATCTACAAGAGAACGGGTCGGAAAGAACAGAACCCAAGAGCTGCAAAGATTCAGTCAGTCCAGAACCTCAGCCTGATAGAAACACTTACAGAAACCTCAGCGATGGAAAGAAAAGTTGGCAGAACTCCTCCACATCCTACAGATGAGTTCTGGTTCTGAAAGAGGTTCTAAGCTGCTGGGTCGGGGGGGAGAATACAGTTTTCACACCCCCGTTCCATTTTGGCTTCATTTTGTTTAATAAATAATAACATGGTGGAATCTGATTAGTGTCTTTCTGTAGTAAAGTTTGATTTGAATAACTTCAGAACTGCGTACAGACAGCTTGTGCTTTCTCATATATAATCTTATATAATTTTAAAAATGGGGTTAGTTAACCTTTTTTTTTTTATATATATAATGATGTTGACCTGTCTTGAAACCCCACAACATCCAACAACAATGATAAACCTCCCGCACATCCAGCTGCAGCTCCACGGTGTTGATCTCCTCGCTGGCTTGGTTCAGATGCTCCAGCTCCTCCTGTGGAGCACAACCCGAACCTTATGTTCTATGTCATATAGGCTTCGCCCTTTAAGGCTGTCGCTGATGGGTTTATCCCGTTATGCGCAAGCATCGTACTGAAAAAAAAATTAGTCCACGCCCACCTGCTGTGTGGGCCCCACCCGATCCGTATAAGTTACGTTAAGAGCGGGTAATCTGCTCCCAGTTTTTCTTCAGCAAGCATAATAAACAAGAATAAACTGACCTTTTTCGTCGAGATGTCCAGCTCCAGCACCATCCGTTTGTGTCCCTCGTGCAAGACCGGCTACTTGCTTAGCTTCGACCGGCACGACACCTGCGAGGGATGCCTGGGTCCCCGCCACGTCGCTCGCGCTTCCTCCTGCCGCCTCTGTGACGAGCTTCCACCGGAGGAAAGGCAGAGGAGAGCAGCCTTGTTTAAGGCTACCTTCGAGGACTGCCTGTCCGTGGCGGGAGACTGTTCGCTGGACGACGCCATGGATTTCTTCGACGCCGGCTCTCGGAGTGAATCGGATGATTCCTCTGGGACCGGTGACGCTAGCAGCAGCCCCGACGCTCGTTCCCTCCCGGGGAGCGCAGTGTTGGAAAGTGGGAGGCCGAGCGGATGCTCGACTCCCCCGGGGTTTCCCGCCTCAGCGACCACATCGCTCCCTGCCGTGGGCGCGCTCCTCTCGGAGCTGCCCGCCATTATCCGGGAAGCTGCTAGCGTTAAGGGGCTCTCCGTCCCCTCACCCCCCCCGCTCAGATCGGATGATCTTGCGGGAAGGTTTGGCTCCACGCCGGCTCGCCGTCCTGATCCCATTTGGCCTCGTTTTCCTGCGGTGACAGCGTACTGGAACGAGGCCGCAGCCGGTCCTGGTAGGTTAAGGGCGCCCGTCTCCACTTACGCCCCCATCACCAGAGTGGAGGGGTTCACCGAGCGGGGTTTTCCCTCGGTACCCCCCCCTTGAGCCAAGCCTCGCGGAAGCCTTCGGAGCGAAGATGTCCAGGCTGGAGAAGCGTCCCGTCCCTCCGGGGAAACACGACCAGGTGGCGACCGCGCTCTCCAACAGAGCCCACCAGTGTGCTTTTCAGGCTGAGCACCACATACGCAACTTTACTCTGCAGACAACCTGGAATCCATGAAACTTAACTGCAGCTGTAAGGGTGAAGATGATGCATTCTGTATTCAACATCTGGGTGAAGGACTGCAGGACTAAATGCAGATCCAAACTGTCTCCACCTGTGGGGTTTTATTCCACATTATCTGGTTTCCAGAAGCACCAGTTCTACTTTTGTCCACTAGATGGAGACAATCAGCCAACACACGTCTAAAGAAATCTAACATTTGAAGCCACTTGTCTCGTATAGATTATAAATGATAAATAAAATGATTATAAATGATAGGGGAGAACTTCACTTGGTGCATAGTTCAGCCATAGATGTGTCTTCACTTTGTTTTGTGTTGTGCTGTAAACGTGTTGCACGAGTTACAAAACAAATACAGTGACCAGAAAAGACTCCATCTTTACCAAACTCAGTACGCCCTGGTGAAAATTTAATGTACTTAAGTATATTTTAAGTAGGCTTAATTTTTAAGAAATGCATTAGAATATGTTCTCAAGTGAATGTACTTATTAGGATTACATCAAAAAATGTAAAATAAATAGATTAAATATACTTGAAGTACATTGTTATAAAATATATTTTGTTACACTTTATGAAGTACTATTTATTTGCAAAATATAAAATAAATTTCAATCAAATATATTTATAAAATTAAACTCCATTTAAACTTTTTTTTAAATGCACTTTGAATGTATTTGTAAAATTTTGTTTTCAAACCCTACTTTAAAACTATATTACAAATATATGTATCCAATACTTTTCAGCAGTTAATTAATTAAAAAAAAAAAGTATTTGAAAATGTTAATGTTACTAATGTTCCATATTGTACTTCAGGTAATATTTTCAAATACAGACATATTTTTTAAACTTAGGTCACAACTTTGTAACGTTAATATAGCATCTCACTTTGTAATGTATTGTACAAAGTTACATCATTATGGTCTGTTGGTCATCAGATTTACTGCAGAACATTCCCCATGTGCCAGGTTTATAAAATATTTTCATCCCAAATGCAACTGTTGTTGTGAAGAATCTGATCTTTAGCTTCTTAATATTTTGAGCAAAAGACACTTTGATCAAGTCTTCATCACTGTTTTTTTAACAGCTTGTCTATAAAGTGATAGTTCAGATCTTTCAAAGAGGGATTCTGTGGAAAAGTTTTGAATGGTTAACATCTGTCCTCTTGTACGCAACTCCTTAACGGACCTCGGCTTGGAGGAATTGTTTATTTCTGACTGGATTGAAGAGCTAATGGCTAGTCAGCATCCTTCATTCAACCTTTATTTATAGAGGTTAGGGTATAATCTCCTAACCAATCTCAAATTACAATGATACATATAAACATGTAAAAAATCCTCAGGTCAACACATGCATAAACAAGTTCAGCTCAAATTTTAATTTAAGTGACATAATATCTGAGACTTAGCAAATAATATGATAAAAGTCAAAGCAAAACATAACCATTTATCTAAAATTCTACATATCTACTAAAATAATTTGTCAGAGGGCTAAATTATCTGAATGAGGTGATCAGAGCTTTTTTTAACATTGTTCAAAGAAAGTTTTAACATCTGGAGTTCTTGTTTGAATACAGACCATAATGGCTTGCCACATCTGCATTTGTTTTAAGATTCTGATAATGTTATTAATAAAGTATTCATCTTATTTTATTTTCAGATACATATCCGTATAAGATATGGAGTCTGTTAACGGATTTTATGGTCAGAAGATGAAGGGTTTTCCATAACGTGTTCACAGAATGACAGAAATACAACGGATGTTCTGTTGTTTCAGGTTCCTCACATATATTATTCAATTTTAAATCTATTTCTGATTAACTTGTTTGAAGGATAAATATTAGAGTTTTGAAATGTAATTCTTTAGATTTAGGTAGAAGAGGGAAACCCAGATATTTTGTCATTATTTTTATTCTTTCCTTCTTATTGTAAAACTCGTGAAACTTCTTACCACACCGGTATATATTGTTTTGAATTAAATGTCTTAAAAAATTGTTGTTGCTTTTTTTTTTTTGTATTAAATTTAGTCCATTGAGACTTGGTAAACTAATTGTTGATTTAGTTTCATAATTGTTCTTTATTAACAATTAACTATATATATATTTGTAATTGCTATACTTTTAATTACTTGGTCATAGTCTCTTTTGGTACAAATTAGATTATAATTTTTTTTTTAATTCTTCATATATAGATTTGCCTGTTCATCATGTGACCATATTTGCTTCTCCATCCATGTTTCCATGAACACAGACTTCCTTCTGTGTAGAACGACTCTGTTGTTCCAAAAAGGAACGTTATGAGGACTGAAGTTATGTTGGTATACTAGTTTCCAGTTTAATAACACCTGTTGGTGAAAAGCAGATAATTAACAGGTCATTTAGGAATGTCAAAGTCAGGAAGTCAATACCTCCGACTTTACTACAAACCAAAGTGGGGACAGCAAACCAAATCTCATGAGCAGTTTTAAGAAACGATTGAGTTTTAAGACGCCATTATTTCAAAATCTATTGCTTTAATCCCACCATCTTCATATTTTTTTAACTATATCTCGTTTTTTGATATAATGATTTTTATTCCTCCAAATGAAGTTAAAGTTTAATTTATTAATTTCCTTAATAATTTTTGGAGGGATGGATATGGAGGATGTGGGGTAAACCAGTCGCCTTATTGGTTAGTGTCCTACCAGAGAGTCAAGTCTCTTTGTAACCAGTTATTTAATATCAATTTACATTTAGCAATATTATTTTCAACATTCAGTCTGACAACTACTTGTAGTTTCCCAGGTATCGAACCTCCAGTTTGACCAGTATGTTGAAAAGATGATAGAGAACAATCATGAATGCTCATTAATTCACACTTTTTCTAATTTAACTTCAAGCCTGATGCTTTGGAGAATGCTTCTACTGTTTGAATATCCAGTTTAATCTGATCTTTATTTTTTTTTTAAACAGAGTTGTATCATCTGCTAGCTGACTTATAATAATACTATGATTCATAATTTGCAAACCATGAAGACTGGAGTTTCTTATCAGGAAAGCTACGAGCTCAGTAACGGGATGAACAGGCCCTGTAGCCTCAGCAGAATAAGGTAGATGTGAATTGCTCATTAAATAATGGGACACATTCTAATGAAATTTGCATAAAGTGATCATTGGATCGAAGACTCAGCAACTCTATTCAAGATGGCCGCCACAAACAACTGACCTTAAACACAAATGTGGCTATAACTTGGTAATTTTACAGATGCTGACTTTATCAAGTGGTGGTCTTTGACAGAACGGTTAGTGATCAAAACCTGCACAAGAAACTAACGTCCTACTTACCATCTTTTCACTCTTTACTCAAAAGTACCAAAAAAAAAAAAATAAAAAATGAGCAAGAAAATTAGTTTAATCCAAAGTCAACATTTTATAAAAAAACACAAATACAGTTATTTAAAGTTGTTGTTGTTGTTTTTTTTACATCTACAAATGTCCAGAAGAGTGTCCTTGAAGTGATACAACAGGTCCAGTTACGTGTGAGACCTCTGTCGTTTCCAGAACCTCTTGACCTCGCTGTGTCCTTCCGTCGTCACCACCATCACTCTGTGAGCCACGTCTTGCCACACCAGACAGCCCAAACCCTGCATCAGAACCAGCTGATTAAACAGCAGCAACAACTCAGCAGCCACGAGCAGAACCTGCAACAGCAGCGAGTTCGTAAGGTCGCTCAAACTGAGGGTCCTGTGTTAAAAATGTGTGCTTTTACTTGGGAATATTTTGGTTAGCGATGTAATAATGACTGAAATAATTATCCAACACAGACAGACTCGTTCTTTAAGAAAGACTTTCCAACCTGAGCTCTGTCTCGCAGCACCTCGAAGTCCACCTGGGACAGGAACTGGTTGTAGAGCACTCCTGAAAAAGAAAAGATGGACGACGTGACTCATCACCTCCATTGTCCAAAGCCAAAATATCAGATTTTTGGGGAGCTGCCATGTTTTGAAGCCAGAGACTGCACACTAAAGATGTATCAATGGCTGGACTATCGACACAAAATGTGACCTATAAATCCTCCTGACTCACTTCCTGGATGTCACAGTGTGCCATGACACTTCTTTACAGGGATCTAGACTAGTTGGAACAATAGACATTTGATAAACAATTACTTCAGCTATAAAAAAAGAGCATAAAATACTGTACGTTGTTTAGTTTTTACATTTTTTTTAGAAACTATTGACACACAGACATCACTATTTTATTAGCAGTGGTAATGACACCCGTTACACCAATCAGAGGCCACTAAAATTAATGTTTCTTTGATGTGTAACTTCACAAAAACCATGTCGGACTCCATAGTTTTCTCTGGTCCCCTCCCCAACTTGAGCAGCGATGACATGTTTAGTTGTATGTTCAACCGCTGGGTGTCCAGGTGGTGTTCTGACAACGACGTGGCCTACATAAATAACTGGAGTGCTTTTTGGGAAAACCTGGTCTGATGTGGAGACCCCAGGTTTCTGTTCAGTACCATAGCTAGACTAATGAAAAATCCTATCTCTGTTGAGCCATGTATCCCTACAACTATAAGCAGTGATGAGCTCATGAGATGTTTTTATAAATAAAATAATAAAATTATTACAATTAGAGAGAACATTCACACCATCATTCCTACTATCGCCTCTGGTTCTGTGTCAGATGAGACAACTTTAAAAATGTCACTAGAGCCTGATTTGTGTTTGGACTGTTTTTGTCCTGTTGAGCTCTCTGAATTGTAAAAAAATAATAGCTTCATCCAAACCATCCACATGTCTGCTAGATCCCATCCCAACCAGACTGTTTAAAGAGGTATTTCCCCTAACTAATATCCACATTAATTTTTCCATGACACAGAACCCTGAGACAACTTCTGTTGTGACTTGGTGCCATATAAACTGAATTGAACTGAACAAAACATGACTTTCAAACGTCTCTAGAGAATGCGACAACTGATTAAAACAAGAAAAACCTGTTAATTTTGAGCGAACAACTAGCAGTTGTTTGGGCCACCATGACTGTATGCAGCACCCACCCACTAAAAAAAGCTCACCCTCTGAGAACTGCAGGCGATCTCGCTCGAGTTCCCACAGTCTGATCTGATCCGTTATGGTTGGAGGCAGCACCGGGGTCTGAAAAACAAGCAGGCAGGGAGGAGAACTACGTGTAGAGCCTGGGAAAGTCAAACAGCCTTCATCAGATCCATTATAACCTGCTGTTACAGCAATAGGAAGGGTTGGAGTACCTGTTTCAGCATTACAGGATGAGCTCTGGTCCTCAGAAAGTGGATGATCTAAACAGGAGACAGTAACAAGATTAAAACAAACTGAATTAGTTACTTAAATATTAGACTATGCAATGTTCTGCCAGCAAAAGTCAGAGTGTACCATCCCAGATCAAGCTGCATGATTTGATGTAACCTTTAGTTTGGGTTTTTAAGTTGCAGGACTGAGATGGGCACACAAGAATAATGGTTCAACGGTAACAGATGTGTTTCAGTTTCTGCATGCGTAGCTTTAATGTTGTGGACTGACAAATTCTCAGTTCTATAGTTGTTCCTTCAAACTTTACATGCGAGTGAGTACCTGCTGTGCTGTGATCCCGTTAGCAATAGCTTGTTGAACCGACTCTCTTGTGAGATGAGCCACCACCACGTTGGGGAAGCGATAGAGCATTTCACTGAAGAGAGCCACCAGAGCAATCTGAAGTTCTGAATCTGAACGAGAAAACAGGAAGTAGAGAGGCAGAAAGATGGGCTCTGCAAACTGGGAGGATACAGTTGTGCATCAAACTGGAACTTTGTAACAACTTATAGATGCTGGCATGCTTTGTGAAAAGGTATGACCCTCTGCCAAAAGCAAATGTGTTCTAGAATGATTTATTATGGTAAATGGACTGTACTTATACAGCACCTTTCTATCAAATCAAGATACTCAAAGTACTTTACAATACAATCTGTGCTCTCATTTACCCATTCATACAGCTCTCTACTAGATCTGTACAAAGCTAATCTGAATCTATGGAGACTAATCAGAGCTTTATCACATTCATACACCGATGGGACACATCAGAGGCAATGATGGGTTCAGTGTCTTGCCCAGGGACACTTCAGCATGTGACTGCTGGTGGAATCAAACCCCCAACTCTCCCAGTGGAAGATAACTACTCGAACCACTCTGGTACATACCTGTGTAGGCGTAGACTCGATAATTGGTCTCTACAACAATGAAGCCTGTTTCTCCAGGGCCTTGAGTGGATGAGAGGCTGGAGGAGGAGGTGGTGACTCCAGCAGCCAGAGTGATCGCCAGTCTGGTCGGGTAGTACCGCCGTGACTTCCTCTGAGACAACAACATACTTCATGTAACTACAGAATCACACGTTAATAACTGGACTAGAAGTAAACAGGGAATGGAAGCAAACATTAATGGTTTTAGTGCAAGATATTCAAGAGGGTAAAGTTACACTGTGGGGAAGAACAAAGGGAGGTGGGTTTTCTTCTGAGGCGGTGTAGACTGACTAATCCTGGAGAGAGAAATTTTATCCACCACCAGGTACAATGGAGGAGTCAGGTCTAATGCTAAACGTTGTCGGTGGTGATGCACCACAGGTTGGATGTGACGTAGAGGAGAAAGATAATTTTTTGAAGGAGCTGGATGAAGTGATAGAGACTATTCCTAAGGAGGAGATGTGGTGATTGAAGCAGTTCTAATCCAGATGTTGTGGAAGGACCTGAAGCAGCAGTTAATGTGAGGAAACCCACCAACATCCCAGAGTTGAAGCTGTTCTGTACGGAGGAATGGACTAAAAATCCTACAAGCCAGTGTGCAGGACTGATCAACAGTTACTGGAAAAGTTTAGTTGCAGGTATTGCTGCACGGGGGGCACACCAGATACTGAACGCAAAGGTTCACATACTTTTACCACTCACAAATATGTATCATTTTCCTCTTTAAATAAATGACCACGTGTAATGTTTTAGTCTCATTTGTTTAACTGGGTTCTCTTGTGGAGACTTGTCTGATGAGGTTTAAGGTCATATTTATGCAGAAATATAGACAATTCTAAAAGAGTTCACAAACTTTCAAGCACCACTGTGGATGCAGCCACACACCAAAATACAAGTTTGTGCCTCACTCACTTTTTCAGTTATCTTGTTCACAACATGCACATACAGACAAGAGGAGGGTCTTGTCCAATACCCCCTGTTCACCCCTTGACGGGGGACAAAACGATGGTGTAACATCAAAGACTTTGTACACGTCTGGCTCTTATTATGGCTTTAACTGTGGGGTTGCTTTTAGGAGACATTTTCTTTTAAAATCCTCTTTGTAGGTCGTCTGAGACATTCTTGAGATGTTTGGTAACAAAAACACAGAAAAGAACATCATCATCTGCTTCTACGTTCAGCAGCAGACAACAAACTGGAGTCGTCTTCCCTATTAGATGATAAAAAGTCAAAAGTGTGTTTTCTAGCGCCTTACCTTCCTCTGGAAGACCAGTCCAAACTCCCGAAGGTGCTGCAGGAAGGTGAGCAGCGACTCGCTCATCCCCTCCACGGAGTAATCCTGAAGGACATCAACAATGAAAGAACAACGTGAGAATCAAACCTGGACCCACTGCAGGTGAGGGAGGGTGCTCGACAGGTGGCATTTCTGCTCATGGTTCCAGGGATTCAGCTGGACTCCCTCAGTGAGCACGGGAGTCGAGGTGAAACGATAAGACTGAAGAAGTCAAAACATTTCAGCTAAGTAGAATCCGTCCAGAGGACCTGACTCAACCTTGTTATCTAGCTAGATTATTGAGCATGCATCAGGAGGTGAAACCATAATGTTTCTGTTTTGTTTGTTTTTAACAGATATTTCCTCAAGATAAACTGATTAAAGAGCCAGCAGTCCTGGAAGGAAAGCATATAGTTTGTTGCTGAGGGAGATGTTACATCCTGAGAGCCAGCAGGGATGTTCAGGTCAAAGGACAAGTCAGCACAACCTGAGCGATGGTGCACTTTGTAGTCTGTGACACCTCCTCCTGCTGCAAGTTCCTTCAAGCTATTGTAGCCCAGGGTAAAAACTATACATATATCCATTTCTTTCCCCTAAACCTACGTGTTCTTTGAAATCCCACTTTCTGCTGTCTGTAAATGCCCCTTAAGTCATGTGCTCACAGAGTAGTTCCACCCCTCACATAGGTCATGTGATTGTGTTTAACCAATGGTGGCCACACCGACTTCCTCTCAATCAGACGGCTGAGGGAAGCAGGTGGACGGCTATTACCAGATCAGACGATTAACACACAGAGGGGCGTTTTCATCCGTTTAAGTCTGAAATTATCTTGGAATTGGCCAGGTGGACTTGAATGAACTTGGATTTCCTCAAACCTTGTCAATCAGCTTGGAGGTTTGTGGATGGCGATCTGACCATCTGCACAGTTGGGAGTACAGAATCCCAGCCTACAGCTGAACTCTTCCCATGGTCTGGTAGGAGGCTGATACAGCCTAAAGCTCCATCTCCTTAAACTAGCTTTGCCTCATAAAAAACAGCTTCCAACACACTGGATTCTTCAAACTACATTTCTTCATGCTTCAACTTATGAACTCTTAAAACTCCATGAACATTCGAAACTTTACAAACTCATACTTGGGGAAAGTTAGTTGTCAAAGACCTGGATCGCTGGCCCAGTTGATGATGGACTTTTCCTTTTTTTTTGTTCTCTGACAAGGGCTTGCATTGATTTGATGTATTTTTTGCAATAGTATTTAAGTGCACTTAAGAACAATAACTGCTGCAGCAATTTGTACATATTTTGTGGCATTTGGTTTATTTTTGTTGGTTATTTATTTACACATTTTTGTTATTGCTTTTTCGTTTATTACAATACACGGTACCATCAGAAAACTATTTCAGTCTCTGTGTCATTAATTACTGTTCTCCAGCTCCAGTAGATGAATCTAGTCTTCTGTATTCTAGCCTGTTTACCAGTGTAACAGTATAAAAAGCTCATAGGATGCTACACTATGCACAGGTGGGCCATGTTCTCGATCTACCAAACCAACATATGTATTAAAGCATAAATAACTTAAATAAATTATTTTAAAAATTCTAATTTATAATTGGGTCTGAAGGTTCTGAAAGGATTTGATGTGTGAAAATGTAAAAAAAAAAACTAATTTATTACATTTTATAAGAGACAGCATTTTGGTATTAAAGGTTTTTAATGTAAGTTTATGGAAAAGAAGGATCATATCTCCAAAAATAATAATGCGTCAAAATTGATGCCATCAATGGTCGACTTAATAAAACTTGTAATGCCATTGATTCCACTTTCCATCTAATATTTGAGAAAATTGCATACTATATTGTGTTTGCCCCCCATTCAGAAAATCAAGGGGACAAAATGAGCATAAAAACACAAAAAATACAAAAGAATAGACTTTTTGTTTTCATTCAACCTTTATTTACACAGGCTAATCTCAAAGAGCCACGAGGACTCATTTACAAGAGGGACATGTCTATAATTAGGTTGTTGAAAAGATTTGATGCAGTGAAATAAATAAATAAATAAAAAACTTAATTTTACATTTTAATGAGAGAGTCTGTTTAGGTTCTAAAGGCATCGAGTGTATTAATTTTAAACCACCAGGAAAAACCTGGCGGTGACTTTCAGTTCTTTATTAATAATAAATTGTCACTTGACCCATGTTAAAAGGATCAGTTTTAGTTTCTGCCATGGACCGCCTGCAGCTCGTCCACATCACAGTTTCTGACTGCTTCCTTTAAGCGCTTCCATGTTCCACCTTTGCTCATCTCTGCAGAGGACTACTGCTGGATCAGGTCCAGGTTCTGGTCTGAACTTTTCAAGCTCTGAGTGGTGATGCACTTTTATACATAACCTGACGTTTAAACCAGGATGCGAGAACCAGGACCCAGAAGTCGACTGATGAGGACTCGTCTGTCCCTAAATCAAGACTAACAAGAGGTACTGTGACGTCCCCCGTGGATGGATGGATGGACGGACAGATAGATGGATGGATGGATAGATCTAGGATTTTGACGTGGCAACCCAATCTTTAATAACTTTATTTAATACCTAGATGCAGCCACACACCAAAATGGAAGTTGGCACTTCACTTATTTTTCCAGTTGTGCTCACAACGTGCACGGACCGAGGGTATTTCCAAGTCCCCCTCTTCTCTCTGCAACGAAGAACAGTCTTTCCACTTGTTTGTCTGATCCTCTGAAACTCTTCATTCCTCCAACTACAGTTCGTGGACTCACATTTATTTAGGAAAGTCTTGAAGACTCATTTTTACTCTGGCATTTGGGTTTTTGATGCATTTGATTTTGTGTCTCAAGTATATTTGATGTGAAGCTCATAATGTTTGTTGTTCTTGTAGCAGCAGCTTAGATCCAAAACATCAGAACGTGGCTGAATTATTTCACGCTGCTGCTTCTCAAAATGCACATCTGTGTTCGGAGAAGGAAACAGAAAGCCAAGAGGTCGATACTCACTCTGCCGAGTGTAGAGAAACTGAGCTGGAACAAGAACGATAGGATCTCCACCAGGTCCATCCCTCTGGACTGCAACAAAGAGTACAAATACATGTGAGCACGTATTCTCAAAGCACAGCAAGATGTACAAAATAAACTATCTGTGATTATTTAGGTTGAATATCTGGAGGTAGAGAATACTAACTCCTTGTTGGACCCTGACCACTCACAGAAGGACAACTTCAGGTTTAAAGCAGATTAATAACAACCACTCCGTCCAGACTAAAGGTTCCTTGTACCTGAGCAGTTTTGAGGTACTGGAGGGTGAAGTACCACAGCTGAGAGGCAGTGTCCAGCAGGAGGAACTGGAAACCAGCTGACGTGATGTATGGAGCCTCTCCTGCCTCACTGAGAACCAGAGAAGAGCAACAGAAGATTCATGTGTAACCCAGAACAACAGCTCCGTCAGTGTGCACGTTTATCTTTCTGACTCCCATTATAAACATATAATGCTTTTTTCATGAAGACCTAATAAATCTAAACCTCTACCATCAAAATGAATGGAAATCTAGTTTTAGTTGTGATGAGGGAGTGAGTAGGATGAGGAAGATGTTACCAGCAGTGAAGGTTCCTCTGAGGGCCAGGAGGAACCAGGGGAGGAACTCCTGTCAGTCACTGGGGGGGGGGGCTTGCAAATATTCTACCTTGAACCTCATTTTAGAAAATATTTCATATTTTGTGTTTTTCTGATAGAAAACAAAGTCAAGGGTTGATTTGACAAAAATGGTTAAAAAAAAATTAAAATTGAAAAATATGAAAAATAAAAACTTTACATCTAAAGTTCGGTCAATTGATCTAAACAATCTTTCGGCCGAGGAAACTACCGGTACACTCATACTGATAGTTTCTCAGCATTACTCACCTGCAGTTAGGTCTGTCACGATAAATGTTGCTGGGCAATTAATTGTCTCAGAAATTATTGAGATAAACAATAATATTGTTTGAAATTTGACAATAATTACTAATTACTGTCCAATTTAAGAAGAAATGTTGGTTGATTTGAGTGTGTAGTACCTTTTTTTGACCACCGGATGACATTATAAGACTGTTTGAACCAAAGGATGGATAGTGAGGGAGCGAGCAGCGTGTCTCTTGAAGAAAAATGGGAGGGAGGCCCCTTGACGTGACATGGGCTGTCTCTCCTTCCTATTTTTCAGTTCTCAAAATGGCGGACGCTCGGTGTGGTTTGAGCTCTTTAGCATAGCATTTGTCACACAAAGTTTTTAATTAAAAAAAAAAAATCAGTAAACAAGTTCTCAGCTTCTTTTTGCAGAGAAAAACAACTTTTAACACGAAGGCACGAGTTTGAACCATGAATTTTTGGAGCTTTGACAAAACTGAGATATTTCCCGAGGTCAGCCTGTTAGCTTAGCTCATAGCTTAGCTCAGCTTGGCTGCTTTTAACGATCCAAAAACGTGATTTTGGACGGTTAAAATGGATTTTGTAGAGAAACGAGAAAGGGAAGGGTCAGTGAAGAGCACCAGAGTTGAGCCATCCAGTGTCTTCAGTAGAAAGAGAGACACGAAGAAACGATAAAGCCGATAAATGAAAATGAGGTCCATAATTTTCATTTATCATGCGATTAATTGATTTACTGTTTATCGCGACAGGCCTACCTGCAGTTACACATTAAATTTGTTTTAATGGGGCTCTGCAGAGTTTTTGTTTCCATGTTTCCATGGCAACATCAGCGCTGCACGTGTCGTGCCATGATTAATTTTTCCTTTTGGACTTTATTATTGTGTCTGGATGCATGTCAGGTGAATAGCGACCTGCTCTTATTAACATTAAAGAAAAAAATATATATATATAGAGATCAACTTACAACGAAGAATAACTTTATTAACATTGTTTTTTTTAGTCTGTAACAGAAACAACTTAAAGTGCATCAATTTGCCTGAACAAAAAAATAAAGAAATGTAAACTGTAAAGATTTTGGACCATTTGATACTGAAAAATAAAATTAAATATAATCAATAAATAATAATAAATTCAAATTGATCAGCAACATTTTTAACTCAGGAGTGTTTTATAAAACACTTTAACCTACAAAACAAAAATGAATAAAACAATTTATGCAGATTTTTTACAAATCAAAATGAGGAAGTCAGGATCAATGAGCACACTCATCGATAAAACAAAATAAATTGTCAACATGAAGGAGGAAAGAGGGGGCAGGTAACCCTCTCGCTTTGAGTTTACTCTTTGTCACCTGCGTGCTGTGCGTGACGTCCACAGCGTACGGACATGAAAACAGCTGAGGACGGAGGAGGTGACGGTCGGAGTTTATTCATCGTGTCAGCAGCAGAGGAGAGAGACACGGTTCATGCATGGCTCCCAAAACCACAAGGCAGCCATATTTGTTCATAACTTTATCATTAGGAACGCACGCAACAAAATGAGAATGGTGAAAATAAAACCTACTTCCTGCGACAAAAAAAAGCATGTTTTCTAGGGTCACATGCGCCCCCACTGGCATTGCCCCACTATTTGAGAAGGACTGCTTTCAAGTAACGTTTGACCTGAATAATGTCGCTCGTTTCTACACGTTCACTGTGCTCAGACAGTCAGCTACAGTCAGACTAAAGCTGTCTCTTTTCTTTTAGTCGTTGAAGAAAAAAACAAATTAATTAAGTTTGTTTTATTCACCTGTGACGTGTTTAAAACGTGAATAATGTATAGTTTTGTATTACCAGGCAGGAATCAGTACCTTCTCATGAGGCCTGCCTGGACCAGCAGCTGAGCCAGGTCCTGGCTGACGGCGCAGGGGGAGCCCACCATGAACTGCAGGATCACCTCCCAGCGCTCCAGGGCGTAGCGATCGAGGCTCTCGATGTCCCGCGCGTGGCGATCAGGACCCAGACTGCTGCCTTCGTCCGCCCATGCTGTGCCCCTGTTTATCAACACAACATCACATCGCTGGACTTTAAGGGATAGTTAGACCAGTTTGAAGTGGGGTTCCCTCCCTGCTTCTGACTGCAGATGGGTTCTGATAAGCTAGACAAGGCAGGGAGGGGCTGGCGTCTGGAAGTTCTACAAAACAGATTTTTTTTTTCTGTTCAGGAAGTCAGAACTGGTCAGAGCCTCAGAAAGAAGAAATCATTGATGAACTTGTAAATGCATTGATCTTCTGCTATTGCTGGCTGTTCTCCAAAACTCTGTAAATAAATATGATGAAGACTACACCTGATTGTTTTGGGAATCTCTTTTTTCCACAACAGTGGCTGTGCAGTCATAACTCAAAGGTTATTAACAAATAGCAGAAAGAACAGGATTTTGAGGATGTTTGAACAAGTACTTAATGTCTATGCCATATGTCAGAACCAAGTCAAGAGTGTGATGATGAGTAGATGTGTGGACATTTTGGGTAAAACCACTTGACTCCATAAAGGCTATCACTAAACTTAAGCTATCACTTTCAACATCTACATGAATATTGAAAACCTACATGATTATGACTTTATCAGTATTAATAATAAGTCAGACAAAAACAAAAATCTGAGAATTCAGTCAAAAACTGAGAATAAGGGTCTGGTGGACGATATATAACAACTAGTAAAAGTTTTTTTTTTCTGATTTCCTGTTTGGATGAGAAAGACTGAGGGACAACGACTCAAAAGAATCATAACTAATAATTGGTTAAGCATTAATCAATAATCCTGACTGAAAGATAGCAGCTACTCCTCCACCTCGACTGGTTGATCTAGGAACATGAAAATTTTAATATTTAGGTGGAGTTGATTCATATATACTAACAAAACCCTCCTGTTTTAGCCATTTTTCTGTCAGACAGAACAAATCAATATAAGGATCAGTTATCAGATCATTAACTAACAGAGACTTGGAGGAAAGAGATGTGATGTGCAATAATCCAGATTGAATGATTTTAAACTTTTGTTCTGGTAAAGTTGAACTTTACCAACTCGTTATCGACTCTGTTTCTCCAACATTTCTGTGTTCGCTCCAGAAGCCATGCACACCGCAGGTAAGAAATTGTTTTACACAGAAACCCACTTCCAATTGTCCGACCTGCTGCATTAATTAAAAATGAAGCAGAAAGATTTAAATAATTTCTTGTACCTTTTAAACTTTGGTTGTTTTACCTAAATGAAAGAAAACACACCCAGCAGATAGTAGGTGAATTTGATTTCCACAAACATGTTTTTACACAAACACTGACATTTGATCAAGACAATCTCATACTGAAGGAGGAAAAACTTAAAATATCAACATGGTTAAACATTTTTAAGAACTTCTGCTTCCATTAGCAAAAAAAGGCTACTTTTAAAATAACTATAAGCTATAAGCTTGTACACAAACAATAATACTCTAAAATAAATTTTGTATACACGGTGGTCCCACCATGCAGCTCCAGATATTTTCAACACAACGTTGGGAGTTTTATAAAGAAAAACAACTTCCCAGCAGACTTCGCAGGAAGTGATGGACATACCCTCCAAGCAGAGCTGTTCTCAGGTTGTCTCTGAACACTGGATTTAAGATGTATCCTTGCAGACCACCCTGCAGCTGCTGACTGTGCCAGAGACGGAGCCCTGTCAACACCGAGACGCATTCATCGTGATCCCTGCAAAAAGACGAAAATACAGAAAAATCAACAAACAGATCTAGAGCGCACACTTCAATGCTCATGACAACGGTTCTCCTTCTGAAGATGTTGCAAGATTCATTTACTGTTCCACTTTCAGGCTTTTCAAAGTAAAAGCTAATATGAGAACAAGAGGGTACCTCTGGTGAATGACTAACAATATCAGTTATATATCATCACTGAGCAGCAACTCTCTGGCCATCTTAAAATATTAACTAAAAAAATCTCTAAAGAGAAAAGAAAAAAGTGTAAATATAAATATATATATATATATATATAATATATATACACACAT